TATTCGACAAGGAAAATAAACATTAGTGACACTGACACTAATTTACAACATTAGAGTGTTACAATCCAAAGTGTTACAGTATAAGCAAATATCAAATAAGTTAAAACTCAGAATATCCAGTCTTTTTTAAAAAAAATCAAATGAGGAGTTTTTCTTCCTGTTAATTTACCACCTCCTGATCCAACTTCATTACCCACCAAAAATGTTGACAAGCTAATCAATCATGAATAGTTCTAACTATTCGTGAGTTTGGTCTCTAGCTATAATGTGGCATTTCAAAACCTGATCATCTTCAAAATGCAAAACAAAAATCAATATTTCAGCACACTAGCAATATTGTGCACAGCACAAATCCATAACAGTTTCCACATAGTCATAATGTGTGCGAGGATTTAGAAATAGAATGGGCATTCACAAACCTGGTAAGTGATCTTCACATAGTTAAAATGATTGTCCACTGGACTTTTAATGCTTAAAATTTAGTAGCCTAACAGATGTAATATCTAGGTTGGGCCAACACAACTACTGTCAAAAATATGCTGGAAATGGCAAATTATCTGCTCAATCGCTCTTTACAGTAATATCTGTTAATTCGTTCAGGTACATCTCACTGCCAATGAAATAGGCAAGTTCAGTTAATGTCCACTGTACAACAGCTAGTATGAGACCATAGCTATGCTGTTGATTGAAAAGCCAGTGTTCAGATTGTCTAACATCGCTTGATAGGCAAAACAGCTGTCTAAATATCTTGCAACCTTCATTTCAATGATATACATTTTTTGTACAAGTAGCGCTGAGCACCAATATGATACACTTACTAGTTTTACTGTAGTTAACTTGTACTTTCAAACTGAAGAACAAATACAGTTCTCCTTTACTAAAGTGTTTAATTGCAACTTATTTTGAAATTTAAAATGTCTCCTTGAATTCATTTAAAAACAGTTTGATGCTGTGATGGGAAGAGTGAGCCAAACAAATGAGCCAAACAGCTTCCTTCATCCCAGCTAGTCTTGTGATGATCTACATTCCACCCAAAAATAATGTACTACATTGAAATCTATTGGTTTTATACTGTAGGATCTTATTGTATTTTAAACATCTAACAGTCTTTCAAAAGTAATTACTGTCTAATAAAACCTTGAACTCATAGTTTAAGATTATATTCCAATGGAAACTTGGCAAACATTTGCACCAACAAGATCCCCAAAACAGCCATGAAGTAAACTACCTTCTCTTTTTGAAATGTCATGGAATGTTTAACGTTCACCTCAACGGGCAAATCAAAACCTCAGTTTTAACTTTTCATCCAAAAGATGACACCTCCAACAATGAAAGACCTCATTGTTGCGTCCTCTTAGACTACAAGATGTTGGTCAAGTGAAGTCTGTGTTTAGGTTGGTTCTGTTTTCATATTTCTGCACTCATAGTTTACATTGGCAGCCATTTGGGTTTCATGCAGTTTTCTCGTAAATGCAATGGCACAAGCAATCAACATCTAATATCCTCTAATAGCGATCAAAGCTAAAACAATAAAAAAAATTCTTTATTTCAGTTCCCATTGATAGATTTTTTGACCAGTACGTTTCAGCATTAGGTCTGGTCATGGTGGATTTCCTGCTATGCATCTCGTGCAACATGTAGGTACAGGTTTTATTTCAACACACTTATCTTTTTCACGGTGCTTAAGAATTAAATAGTCAGATGCAAGGTGTAAGGACAGCTTGATTGATAACATACAGTATGCAAATAAAAATGCAGCACTGATGTTCAACAGGTGATTTGTGCTAACATTAAACATCTCAACCATTTCCCAATTTCACACATGCATTTAAAACTACTTTCAACGCTTTCGGCAATAGGTATAATTGTCTGTGTATTGCACTGATCACAAAGTTAAAGATTATACTCTAATCTGCACAATTTCTACATACTTGTAAATTTAGAAAAGGATGTGAATATGTTCTCTAATTTAACCAGGCCACACTGGCTTTTACTTTGGCCATCCTAGTCATGTCTTTCTCTACTTTTGATTCTCCTCCACTCCTATTCTCCTGCTCAAACCCTCCTTTCTTCCAACTTGTCTACTCTTCTTTGGCACTCCATCTGTTTCACATTAGTGGCTCATTGTTTAGCTACAATGCCCCCACACTCTGGAATTCTCCCGAAATCTTTTTGCTCTGCCTTTCTCTGCCAGTCTTCAAAACTTTTTAAATAAATCTATTTCACTTTGCCTTTGATCAATCCCCCCAAATTCTCCCTCCTCTTCCCCCATCGTATTTGTGAAGTACTCTGAGGTGTTTATGCTACATGAAAGGTACTAAATGTTTAAATTATTATTGCACTCCATTGCAGAAAAACAGTTCTCACCAAAATAAAGTTTTTATTGCCAGTTTTCAGAATCACTAAGAAAACAGACATTACTCTGGAAATCATGAGTTGGCATTGACGTGATACTTTGACAGATTATTGGATGAGTTGAAAGTATTTTTTGCAATGTTTAAATAATTGACATCCAGATTTTTAAATTTCATAAATACTGTGTTTTGTTTACACACTGGTGGAAGCAAAGCAATATTGTTTCCAGCAGTAGAGTGCAAACCACAATTTATTCTTCCTCCACTGATTGTGCTCGTCAGGGCTCAGTAGTTTCTGTGCATGTGCTGAAGTACCTGGTACTAGAACTTTTAAAAAAGGGGGTTAAAACTGATATTGCAGCTTATTGCAACGATGCATCTCAAAATGCTTCCCAAAATTGGTCGTTTTGAATTGCAGCAACAGTTACATTTGGCAGCTTACCCTCAAAGCTCACAGCAACCTTACATAACGGCAATGCATCTGTTATTTCGGTGACTTTTGAATGACGAACTGATATTTCCCAGTAAAACAGGAGAACGTCCTATTCTTTCCCTTGCCCATCTGCAGATCACATCTGAAGACTTTCCTCTTCAACCGCGCTTAGTCACCTCCTCTCTTTCTCCGGCTCAACATCAAGCTCCACCACTGTTAAGCACACCAAAACACTGCTTCCAGTGAAAGGTGCTATAAAAATCAAATTGTTGTTGAAAATGTATTGAGCCATCCATTGATGAGGTCAAGAATTTTAAAAGTACCACTAAATTAGAGATGAGGCTGAATTGATTTGAACTTGCTACATTTATAATGCATTTAGAAATTGATGCCATGTTAAAACCACTTCCTCTAAGTTTTATCAGAATCAGGCAGGTCTCCAGCACAATTTACTTTTAGGTTGTGCTGCTTATCCTTAATTTATATTGGACTTTCTTGATCAATTTACCGCAAAAGAGCAGTAGAAATACAGCAAAACAGTCATCAATTTATTATACCAATATAACTATTTACAACATCTGCAAGAGTATAATCTGTTCTGCAGAATGGATACGTGCTTAGTTTTGCAAATTAGCCGTTTCCTGTTTGTTTCAATAACTCTATAAACACAATAATCTTTCAACAATCAACTTTCGCTGCAAAACTATTACTTTTTTTCAAACTGGGATTCTTGGTGAATCCCCCAAGACTTGTAGTGCAGTTTGAAGAAGCGGCAGAGAAACCAGATACGTCAAGAAGTGAATGACTTAGCACGGAAATAGGCCTTTCAACCAAACTAGTCTGTGCTCTCAAGCATCCCTTTATTCCTTTCTATTTTATGTATGCATCAAGTTTTCTCTTGGCTTTCAAAGGGGAGCTAGTTAGATATCTCAAAAGGAGTAAATTTATATGGGTATGGGGAAAGGACAGGTAAATCCGACTGAAAGGACTGGTCTTTAAAACAGCCTGCATAGACACGATGGGCCGAATGGCCTTCTGTGACGTATATTTCTATGGTTCAGTGGTTCTAAATACACTGATGCTTTTAGTGTTGATTAGGTGACCCCAAGATTGGCTTTTAAAAGCCTTTGGATACAGGAGAAATAGAAAGCAGAGGGAAGTAAAATACTCAACAGATTTGTGGTCCTAGAAAAGATTAAAGAAATAGCGAAAATGCAAGGCATAAATTATACTTGCTGTTAAATGATGAACTAGTAAAATGTATATAGACAAAGTGACACTAATGTGTAAGCAGTGTACTAGAATAAACTCTTAGGCTGCCCCAAACCAGTATGAGTAAATATGCACTGTACATGCATGGTCCCATTCTGCTTTAGGATTCTACTTTTGCTGATTTATCATGTGGTAATACCACATCTATGACTTTACAGAGGTAAACGTGACATGAATGTTTACATACATCCAATTAGTAACTTTAAGTTGTTATCTTGTTTTTATATCATTGTTTTGCTTTTGGTTACAAAAAGATGTCGTTGTTTATATGCCTAAATTGTTTTATTTACTTAAACAAATAAGTGGCGAATGGTACCGATTCAATTTCGCTCTTCATAAACAACTCAAAATTATATTGCTGGTTATGAACCGTCTCTCTCGCTCCTGGAATACGTGGTATTCCCCGTGTTCTTCACTGTATTTCCAGTAAACAATGCTCGAACATACATTATTATTTTTATGGTTACATAAGTTCTGCTATTGCCTGCTGCCCAAGATTGCTATGTAATGAAGGCTTCTTTGGACTACAACTCTTTTCACTGATTTTGATTGCTAATTTGTTCTCACAGAAGAATTTTTTCCGCTCCTGTATTTTATCAAACTCGCAATCCAGGTGAAACGATGTACATAAGTACTGCTGCTGTTCATTGCAAAATAGGATCTGAATATCCAGTTAACCACTTAGCCATTGACTAAACCACTGAAAATATGAATCGCATTTTCATTACGTTTTATGAAAACCATGTACTACCACTTCCTCTGTGTTAAAAACGACCCTGGTTTAAACTGAGGACACGAAGCATCGGCTTGAAATCCAAATGTGTTTTGGATAAACCGAGGTACCAATAGCTTTCACAATGGAGAAAAAAAAAATCAAAGTACAAGTCAAAAAGATTTTACTTTGGACTTTTACTTTGCGGTGGAATACAAAGACGACTTACCATTTGCATTTTTTCCACAGATAAGGTGCTGGTAGGGCTGAAGCATACCCCAGAGTTCTGGGTCGTTGTTTATTGCTTGATCCATGGACTCTGTCCCAACTTTCGGAGCCGCGTTCTCGCTTGAGAGGTGGCCGCTGTGCTTCACTCTTAGAAATATCTCTTTGATTAAGCTCTCCATGCCCGCTGTCAGGTAGATCGCGGCGTGCTCGTGAATGCGAAGTGCCACTCTGCTGTCCACCATCCATCTGAAAAACTTCCCCACCGAAAAGGTAAGGCTGCATCGAGCCGATTTACCTTTACTGAACCGGTCGCCTGTGCTCATGTCGTACAGCGAAAGGGCGCTCAGGGCGGCGCGGGTGCAGCTCTCCGCCAGAGTCCAGGACAGAATTATTTTCGTGGCACTCTGAATCTCATACTTTGTGCACTTGGCGTACTTGAGGCTCAGCCTCTGAGCTTCTTTGGCGATCCGCACCAGCGGTCTGCCGGCCAAGGAGGACAGTTTGGCGATGGCATCTTTGGAGCAATTGCCCAGGTCTCTGCCCAGAACAGCTTCGATGTCTTGCACACTCCACGGGACCTCGTCCAGTTCAGGCAGTTTGGAGTACTGCCCCGAACACTCCAGTATCTCAGCGTCTTCAACCAGGACCGTGTTGACAGTGTCGCAGCTGTTGTGTCGACTTTGCATCGAGTCTGTCAGATACCAGCAGTTGCCTCCATGGGTGGGCGCCAAGTGAGAGTCAGAGGAGCACAGGGACAGGTTGGAGGACCTGAAGGAATCCGCTGCTCCACCGTAGCCGGAATCCCGCGTGAGATCCTCCAGCGTCCTCACGGCTGACCTACCCCTCCTGGCCATGGCCATGGCCGCGCCTCATGCTGCAGCGGTGAGGTACTGAGGAGAGAGTGAGTGAGAGTGAGTGAGTGAGGGAGTGAGGAGCGCACTCTCTCTCTCGAGAGAGAGAGAGAGAGCCCCCGACGGCGCCACAGAGGAGGAGGAGGAGTGAAGTCTGAGGGACGCGGACGGGACCTTCTCGCAGTTCGCTCCGCGGTGTGTGTGTTGCCGTCCGGGAGGGGAGGAGGGAGGAGGGAGAGGGGAGGGGAGGGGGGGGGGGAGGGGGGGAGGGAGAGGGGCGGCGCAAACCTTCGTGAGGTAAAACTTGGGCAGAAGTCCCCGCTCGCGCGGAGGCGAAAGTCCCGCCGCCGCCGCCGCCAAACCCGGCGGAGCCCCCGCACCGCCTCCGCCAATCGCACACGCAACGCGCGCGCGCGCGCGGGGGGGGCGCGGCCACTGACCGACATCGCCGGAGCCCCCCCTATAGAAACGGGCGTCAAGAGTTCCGGGGGCGGAGGGACAACACTTTATAATAATAATAATAATAATAATAATGATAATAATAATGATAATAATAATGATGATAATCCCCGCATTTGATACGGAGGACGTCCCAAAGCGCTTCACGGCCACACACTGTGAAGTGGATCTCGACCGTATGTTCGTGGGCCAACGCGGCGGCCGATTGCGCACAGCGCTGTCCCCCCAAACAGTCGTGGATTGAAAATGGCCAATTTTATTCCTGTTGTGCGTTTGGTTTTGGAGGGATTATTATTAGGGCTGCGCGCGTGGGGGGGGGTAAGGAAACTCGCCCGAGGTCTGGCCCTCTGCCGGGGATTGAACCCGGGTCTCTCGCTTGCAAAGCGAGTGCTCTAACCGCTGGGCTGCAGGACTCCGATTGTCTGCGGGTGCGCTGGTGCCGAGCTCCCGCTGACCAGACGAGCTGCCGGCGACTTGTCCGTCAGCCGAACACGCATCGTGCGGAGGGACCCCGACCGCTGTGTCGCGGTGTGAATTGTCTCTTTTTTTCTCTCTCTCTAACGTCCCCAGCGATGCCTCTCCTTTGCCTGTTCTTCAGCCCCGTTCGAAAGTAACGACGCAACACTTGATCTGCAAATGAATAATGCATCCATTAAGTCTGACTTGCTGTAAGATCCTATTCAATGAGACATCAACATCAACAACAACAACAAGATTAAATTTGTATTTTGTATGAACATTTATACATCAACAGAAAGAAGAAAGACCTTTATTGTTTAATTGTTGGGGTAAAATTACAATACTGTGTATTCCAGAATTATATTTTAACAGTGTCATACACAGTATCATATTTCAAATTATTTGCAATATTTAGATCTATTAATAACCCAGAAAACCCTTAGAGACAGAAAATAGTCTCACACCGCAGGCCGCCGAACTCCTCATACACGCTTTCATTACATCGAGGCTCGACATTGCAGATTCACTGCTTGTCGGCCTCCCCAACTCCTCCCTCCACAGGCTGCAGATCATCCAGAACTCTGCAGCCCGTGTCCTCTCCCGCACCAGTCTCCGCGACCCTAACACCCCCATCCTCGCCCAACTCCACTGGCTTCCCATCACAGAGAGGATACACTTCAAAGCCCTCCACGGTCTTGCTCCCCCCCTACCTCTCCGACCTCCTAACCCACTAACATCCTGTTCGCTTCCTCTGCTCAGGAGGCTCTGGTCTGTTTCACGTCCCCCACCTTGCCCCCCACCCTCTTGAACTCCATCCCGCAGTCCCTCCGTCTTGCCCCCTCCCTCGCCACCTTCAAGACCCATCTCAAGACCCTCCTCTTCGACCGTGCTTTCGATCTCCCTGCTTCCTCCCTTGCCCTCCACCTTCCCCCACCTTGATCCTCAGCTCGGGTCCGTAACTCTATCTGTCCAGCGCCTTGGGACATCCTCCCGATGTGAAAGGTGTTTGTATACAAATGTAATTTTGTTGTTGTTGTATTTGAACCCTGAGTTCCCTATACAGTAAACTTCTGATCTGTCAGATCTTCAGATAAAGAGCACTGAATGTTGAAACTCACCTGCATTTGTTAGCGGTCAGTAGTTTCTGGTAAAATGCCAAAGCAACTGATGATTAATTACTTTAAATGCACCCCTGCTGACCGTTCAAATGCATTTAGTGAAGTTCAGCAGAGAAATTTGATAGGGGTGTTATGTAGTTTTGCTTGCACTGCCATCTGTTGTAATTACCATCAACACTATAGGGGAAGGAAACAATTACAATATTATGCAAGAATCATTTAAGCATCTTCTGATTGGTCATCAGGTAACTATCCCAATAAGTTTTGTAATTTTACAGCGCTATTATTAACTAATTATCTCTATTTCCCCATCAAGTTACTGGGGTCTAATTTGCCGGATGTGCAAAAGGAATTGAAAATACTGCTGGCAGACACCATTATTCAGTCCCTCTCCTCGGGATCAGTCCCACTCCCCCTCAAAACCGCTGTCATCACCCCCCTCCTACACAGGTGACACTCAACTCTACTTCTCCTCCAGCTGCGACCCCCAATCCTCTGATGCTCTGTCAGCTTGTCTGACAGGCATCAAGGCCCGGATGAGCGCAAATGTCCTGCAGTTAAATGTCAACAACACGGAAGCCATACTCTTTGGCTCCCGTCGACGTCTTCTGTCCTGCGGTTCAAACCTCTTTAACTTGCTAGATCTGTCCTTAAAACTCTCTGAACCTGTGTGCAACTTAGACATCAGGTTCAATCCCCAGTTAACCTTCCTCCTCCCACATATGGTCCCTGGCCAGAACCACTTTCCTCCACCTTTATCACATTACCTCATAATACCTCACAAGCTCTCGGCTGGACTACTGAAACGCCCTCCTCGCGGATCTCAGTCCTCTACAATGGAAGCTATGGTACTCTCTCCCTTGCCCTCTCTTTCCCCATTTTCAGGTTGCTCCTAAAGACTTTTCTCTTCGACCGTGCCTATGGTCACGTTCCTCCTCCCCCGGGCTTATCATCGGGCTCCGCCATTGTTAAGTACTCTGGGACTCCGCCCAGGGTGGAGGGCACTATATAAATGCATGTTGCTGTTGTACTTTCTCTAAGTAAAACATGCTCATTAGCAAATTCTTAGTCTCAAACCTTAAGGAAAAAAATTAAGATTAGAATATCTAATTTAGGACTCTTACAGTTGTTGAACAAAGATCTTCATAGATAAATAATATTATCTCATCAATAATATATTCCAAGAGCACAGCTTTTGAGCCAATTATCCAATATGGTTATTAAAGTATTAAGATATTATTGGGTGGATCAGTATCTTGATTCCATTGACAAAAATAATAGCTAGTTAAAATGTTATATAATCAAAGTCTATCACTATTAGTCAGATCACATGAATTTACCTAAACGACTAACAATTTTGAAATGTGCATTTTTTGATCAAAACTGTTAATCATTTAAATATCAAAGGTTCAATTTCTGAGACTAGTTTTATACTACTAATAATAATTTGGTTACTCAATCCACAACTATTTGTGTGACACTGCTCTGCGCAATTGACTGCCGCGTTTCGTCCACAAAATACACAAAATTACCATATATTCTGTAAAGCGCTTTGAGACCACTCGAAGACGTGATAAGGTGCTGTACAAAATGGAAGGATTATAAGAATTATTATACACTAATCAGGGCAAAGAAGAGTGACAATAATAATAATCCTGGAATTGACAATAACCCTTGGCAATGACAATGATAGCAACAGTGGACAGATGGCAATAGAAGCAAAAACAATGAAAGCAGCACAAACAACATTAGACTAAAATATTCACTTTCTGTATATAAACGCATCGACTTGTACCAACAGCTGCAAATAAAAGGCACGAGTTTGTGCATTTGCTGTTCAGCGCACTGATGACTAAATATGACACTTACGCATGTAGCATTCATCCTTATTTGCCTATTAATATCCAGACCACTGGAGTTTGTATTGAGAGCAGAAGATTTGACTAAATATTATTCAGTTGCTAGGGAGGTTCTCTATTTCATTACATGCCAAGTAGGAAGACATATATGACAACTCAATGCTCAATTTTGCTCTGTCATCACTATAGGGCCACAGACTGAGATCACCTTATGGAGACGAGCAACGTGTTGCAAGTATCCAACCATTAAGCATTTAATTAGTATGTTGATATTTACTTAATAATCCTCATATTTTATTTAGTGCCATTTACATCAGGAGAACGTCTCAAAATGTTTCACCATATGGACTGACTATTTGATAGGTTTTACAATTTTAGACACAGAAGATCATCAAGAACTCCAAAGGTAGTGCAAAGCAAACATCCTTCTACTCAGTTCCAATAATGGACATTAGTCCCACTCAACCTGGATCAATTTCCTACACCAGACTTTCTTACAGCCTGCCTGAGTGAGTGAATTATAGATTTTTTTTGCTATAATTTGAGATTGCTGAAACCCAGCAAATTTAAACCCAGTCCACAACAGTGTACTACTGTCACACTTCATTGCATGTCAGTCCTGTTGTTATTGTTGCCATTGAACTTGGCGACTTTCATCACAATGTGTGACTTGCTCCCTCTATATTTCCATTATTGAGATATTATTTCAGTTCTTTTCTCCCTCTAGTGGATTATTAAGATTATTACAAATGCTGCATTTAAATTGGAAACCGCACAAGTCTGGTTCTATTAATAATATGACTTTTAGTCACACTTATTGATGAATAGAAATGATGTATCTACATGCACCCTCCACATTAAAATTATTTTTTCTTTGAATGTTCTAAGTGAAGTTTAACGTACCCTAACCCATAATGAAATATTAAATATTATTTAAGGCTGGCCAATAATACAAACACACAGAATCTACACTTCACAGAAAATCCTGTGAAGTGCTTTCAGACACCTTAACAATGCGATAAGACATCATATAAAAGTGAAGCATTATTATGTGTGGGGGAGGGCATATATTGCTAGTCAATTTTAGCGAAAGAATCCCTGAAAGACAGTAAACTCTCTAACAGATTAGCTGGGAACTTAAGGACCATTAAACTCCATTCACACAAAATAAACCCAATTTTTTTTTAAAAAAACTTACTTATCTCGTCAGCCAGGTGTTTGACACATGTTTGTGGGGCATTGCTGTGCGCAATTGGCTGCCGCGTTCGCCCACAAATATACAGTCGATTCACTTTACAATGTGTTCTGTGAAGCGCTTTGGGACGTCCTCCCGACGTGAAAAGCGCTATATCAAATGCAAGGATTATTATTATTATTATTATATGACCTTACAGAGTTCTATACATGCAATCTACGCACGGAGATTTCCCATTTGTCTGCAGTGGAATGCCCACTTTCTCCTGGAGGAAGGCACCCTACTTACCTTATTCTGGCACATATTAGGGGAGAATCCCTGGCACGAGTGAGTGGTCTGCCCCTCGTTGAATCCTGCTGATGAGCACAGTTCATTCTCAGCACCCCTGGATTAAGTTGGGGATATGACGTTAAAAAAAAAACGCTAGAGCTCCTCATCGTTTTCCGGATATCCCTGCTGAAAGGTTTCTGTGAATATCTTTGGTACCATGATCCAAGTAGAAGGAAAACAAGATCCCTGAAAGAAATAAAGCAAGTTGAATTTCGAGAAAAATTAGTGATTTAAGATAATACAGTACTTTCTGTTTAACACACCATTAAGCAGCCAGTAATTTTTTTTTACTAATAATCTCTTAATGGTGGTGAAGAACTATTAAAATAATATGGTGGTTATGTTCATAGAATACCCAGTCAATTCACTTTACAGTATATTCTGTGAAGCGCTTTGAGATGTCTCAACAATGTGATAAGGCGCTATATCAAATGCAAGGTTATTATTATTATATATATAATCACATCCTATTCCTCATAATGTACAGTTAATAAATGTCTCCTGATTTCCATCCTTTCTATTAAGTCTTTACTCAGTTGGATGTCAGAGATATTGGTTAAAAGCTAATTTTCTGTTTCTTAAATTTCTCCAACTGGATCTCATGGTGATTTCATGATCACCAATGCTGTTACTGCTGGAATTACCTTTACCATAGTTGCTCGGATTTTTTGAGGAAATCAGGAAAAAAGACAGTAAATCCATACAAAAACATTGGTTTCAGGAAAAAAATACATACCTCCACCAATCAGCCTCCAAGCCATTGTGTTTACGGATACAAATAAATTAGAAATTGTCCAGTCTTGTGAAGTAATAGATATACAGATAACCCTACATTCTTAAGAGGTTACATACTCCAATTGGGTTAATCTTCTAGTCCTGCAGGTAAACAGTATGCAAATATAATTGAGCACAAATTGGCTGCTTGTTCATCCCCGCCAGATATCTACTGTCAGAACCAGCCACCAGATTTATTTCCCCAAGCCATTGATTAAGTATCTTAATTAGTGCTCGGCTAATCACGCTGGCGGGGGGTTGGAAGAGGATTAACAATCTTTTTCGTGAGCCCTCCATGGCCTCACTCCTTTCATGTGTGGACCAGGGAAGACCCAAAAGTACAATTATATCACTACTTCCAATGGAGCGGGCTGGAACTTTTATTATGGATCTTCTAGAATTTTCTCAAGTTTCCCTCTCTCTGCGTATAGTACTTAAAGAAAAAAAACACACCGGCAAATTACACAGTTGTCTAAACACTGAGCTTGTAGGAACGGCTTTTCAGGCAACAATCCTGCCAAGATTATAACCAATTATTTAACAATTATAACCAAGATTATAAAGTCACATGAACACTTAATGCAATACGTAAATCCAAATAACATCATCAAATGCAAATAATTCTGCTCTGGGGGGGGGGGGGTGCGGATATTACAGTTGCTAGTTTTTGGGAGTGAGGGAAGCTTTTCTAATGCAGCGAAAGCACCTCTAATCAACAGCTTATTTATTAACTGTGTATGAATGTGGACGCAATAGGGGCATTTATTTCTTCCCAACTGTATGAAGTACAATCCGATCATCCTAATACGAATACAAGTGACCTCGAAAATAAATGACAAGTTGGTCACTTGACTTGTACTGAGCTTCTCGTGTCTTCATCCGAGTTTACCATTGGCCCAAAGCTCTCACTGCAGTGCTCACCCCAACTAAAGCAGTTTAGTCGGCTACAGACTAATTATCAGTTATATGAAGGATTATATAACTTTTACACATGACAGGGTCAAAATTGGCAGACATTGGTAGGTGTGAAGGCTGTCATCCACATCCCTGCAGTTAACATTTCCAGTAATAAGCATGTCTTCAATATCTTCTTCTGATTGGCAGATTACTTTTCCAGGTATAATAATCCCTTAAAATAAAAATTTGATCACTCCATCCACGACTGTTTGTGGGCCACTACTATGCGCCATTGGCTGCTGTGTTTCAGCCACAAAATGTACAGTCAAGTCACTTTACCATCACACAGAGGATACAGTTTAAGATCCTGGTCCTCACCTTCAAAGCTCTCCATGGCCTCACTCCCCCCCCCCCCCCCATCTCTACGATCTCCTTAACCCCCTACCATCCTGCTCGCTCCCCCCGCTCAGTGGGCTCCGGTCTCCTCCACGTCCCCCGCCTCACCCGCTCCACCATTGGCGGGCGGGTCTTCTGCCCTCCCCACCCACCCTCTGGAACTCCATCCCTGAGACCCTCCGCCTCGCCCCTTCCCTTGCCTCCTTGAAGACCCATCTCAAGACCCTCCTCTTCGACCGACCGTGCCTTCGATCACCCTCCTTTCCCCCCCCCCAACCGCCCCCACCTGCCCTCCAACCCTCCCCGACACACGTCGTCGTCGTCGTTCTTGTCGTTGACGGTGTATCCTGTGAAGCGCTTTGAGACGTCTCGACGACGTGATGAGGAGCTGTATCAAATGCAAGGTTCACTGTTATCATATTATTATTATTATTATTATATTATTATTATTATTTGAAGCCGGATCAGCGCGAGTCGCACGGCAGGAACCGCGGGAAAGCGCTCGCGTATCCCCAGTGAAATAAGGACAGCGTTTTTTTTTTTCGCGCGAGGACCAGAAATTAAAATACGTTTGTAAACCCAAAGTTAACCAAATACTAACTAAACCCCCCCCACCCAAAGTAGCCCAATATTATGCTTCACCTGCTATGGGGAGCAGAGTGGCCAACCGTGCTTTGGAAACTGTGTAAGAAAAGGTCTTCAAAGTGGGGGGAAACCCCCAAATATACCCCAACCTCCCCCCCCCCCAATATACCCCCACCCCCCAAACCCAACCAAAAAAAAAATAACCCGCCCAATTGGGCGTGAAACCCGCCCCCAAAATCTGGCAACAACACGGAGAGGAGGAGGTGACCGCGCCGCATACACGTGAGGAGGCGGGGGGGGGGGGGCGGTGAATCACGTGGTCCGGCAGCGGCCAATGGGAAGCGACTCGAGCCTGGTCACGTGCACTGTGGAGCGAGCGCCGGCCGTTGACAGTTGGAGGTTTTGAATCACTGAAGGGAAGCGGGTGGACGGAGGAGCGCGTGCGGACTCTCGGGGGGGCAGACAGTGCAGCCGCCGGTCTCCCCTCAGTGCCCACAGTCGGCGCCTTGTGACCCGAGTTCAGCCTTCAGTTTCCGACCCGTCGAACCTTTTGGAGCTCTCGTCCGCCCGGCCATGGGAGGCAACTCGATCCACTGGTTCCGAAAGGGTCTCCGGCTGCACGACAACCCGGCTTTGATGAAGACGGTGCTGACTTCGGACAGGGTCCGCTGTGTCTACATCCTCGACCCTTGGTTCGCTGGCTCTTCCAACGTCGGCATCAACAGATGGAGGTAAGGGGGTCAGTCATGGGGGGAAGCTGTGGAGGGAAGATGTGGTTGGGGTCTCCGATGTCCCTTCCCGCCCATAGTGTTTGTGTGATCAGAGAGAGAGAGAGGGAGCCGTGAGCTAATTACTTCTCTTGTGCCTTATTAAATAACCGCTCGCGTCGGCTTTGCGCGGACCTTTCAATTGCAGGCGTTACGTGGCCAAAAATAACCCCAAAATGTTTGTGAGTTAAGTCGTCGTTCCCGAGCTGCATCTATGTCCCGGTGACTCTTTGTTATGGAGAGGGAGGGAGAGAGAGAGAGAGGTGCTCATGTTTCTGTGACCTAGTTTTTGTTTGACTCGGTGCAGGAAGCCGGGCTTCCATTTGTTTTCAATGGGGTTTGATGGTCACCCACGTCACTTGCATGTCAAGCCGAGCCCCGCCCCCCTCCCCGGGGCGTTGAGAGGCTCGTGCAACCAAACGTGCGCGCAAAGGGCTTCGGAGCGGGTCCCGTCCACGCTCCCTCCAACGTGATCTTCCATCACAGGCTCGGGCCGGGCTGCTCGGGCTGTGGGGGTGGGGGTTGGTGGCCGTCAGTAAAGAGGCGGTGCCCCGCCCGCCTTTTTCCAGCGAAGTGGGACCGCCGTCGTGTCGAAGCGGCGCGTCAGACCGGCCGCGGCTTTGAGGGGTAACGCCGCGATTGACGGCGATTTCGAGACGACTCGTTTTGACGTCTGCGATGGGTCTTCAATGACTGATTCACCCGAAGCCCACCCGACGGCGGTGTTATTTAGCCGAACTATAGCTTTTTTAAAAAAAAATCATTTCCATCCTATAGACATTGCCCCGCAAAATAGTCGGTTCACTTGACTATTATCCTGTGAAGCTCTTTGAAACGTCTCAGCGACGTGATAAGAGTGTTATAATCAAATACAAGGATTGTTGTTGTCATGTTGTCTCCTGTCCTTAATACATACTCACTTGTCTTCTACAAAAGGTCACTGATTCTGTTGATCATATTCATATTTGTGTAAACTCTGCCATTCTGGGTCTGGACTTTGCTCCGATGCTGTTTAGTGACCTGGTTATAGGATGCATTTTAGAGTAGCTCCAGTACTTATATAACTGGATTAAATGCAATGATTGATCAGGAGCTGATTAACTGTGATCTTCATTTTGGTGAACATGTTGGGTTAACACCTTAAGGCGGGGTCTTCACATCAGGTGGAATATAACTCAAAAAAAAGTTTGAAATTTATTAGATGCTTATTTTGAGCTAAGTATTATTAGTTAAATGGACGGTTTGATTTAGACTGACTGATCGATGGGCTCTGCATGTGCATGTAGTTATTCATGCACGGAAATCCAATGGGGTCAGCTGGACAATGGTCCCGCTGTGTTGTACCAGTTTATACAAGTGCACTTACACAAGCCCTGTATGTAACATCTCACAACTCCTCACAGCGAGAGTGATCAGAGTAAGATCAGAAGTAGGAGGGAGGTAACCAAGGCCAGTCCGACGAGGTAGACTTTAGAAAGGTTTTGGCTGGATCAAGGCAGTTATTTTGGAAGCGAGTTCAAGAGTGTAGGAGCATAGAGGGTGAATGCTCTGCTGCCAATAGTCGGGTGAAGGGACTGACGTATATGCAGCAGGGCTGAGTTTGCTGAGGAAGTGGACAGTAGGATTGGAAGATATTACAGATATAAAAAGGTTGAGTGTGTGTAATTCAGAATATATCTTGAAATCAATCAGCTGGGGGCAAGGAGCCAATTTAACTTACTGAAGATGGGTGTGATGGGCATGCAGAGCCTGTGTGGAAGAGGTTACAGACTGCAGTTCTGGAAGAGCTATAGCATACATCAGGAGGCTCATGAGGCTTGTGCTTGAAGTCAAGTTTGGAGGTGACACATTCATCTGTTAGGAGTGGGAATGGTGAGAAAGCTGGAATTATTCCAGAAGTGCAGAAAAATGCTCATGGGTTTAAGAGACCTAATGATCAAACAAAACTACAAAATTGTGCTCTGGTTTCTTTTTTGTAGAGTGCGGGCTTGGACTTTATTTTAGACCAACTATTATCAGAGTAAACAGATTAGACTCAAATAGGATTTGAAGTCTAATCCATGGTATCTATCTTGCATATGCACACCACAGATATTCTCTTGCATAAAAACAAAAGACTAAGGTAATTACACACGTTTGTTAGGATGCTCCATACACTGGTAATATGTTGGATCATGTAGGTTAGGAACCGTGGTATTATTCTTTGACAGTAGATATATTTATGATGTTTTGAAGATTTTTTTCTGAGTGGACTTTGTTTTAACTTAATCTTGATGTGCAGTCAGGTAGGGCAAGCTGTCTGCCTGAGAAAATCCAATTGTCATGGTGTTAATCAATTTATTTATAGGTCATGCATGTTGAGCTGTAAATTTCAGGGTGTACAAAGTAACCTAAATTAGTATTTCTGGATTTTATATAAAGTTAAGAAAGTAAATTATAACAGTCAATATTGCAGTAATCAATTGGGGAGCTAATGACATGAGGCTTTGATGGATTAAATGACTAGCTTTTGTGATTGCATTTCTATCTGTAGCCCAGAAAAGAATAGTGTGGATTGCCTTTTATAGTATTGCTAAATTAATATTCTTTTTTAAAATCAGATTCCTGTTGCAGTGCCTTGAAGATCTTGATGCCAATTTGCGGAAGTTAAACTCTCGTTTGTTTGTTATTCGTGGACAGCCAGCTGATGTTTTTCCAAGACTATTCAAGGTATTTGTTTTTTAAAAAATTCTGGGAAGTATGTCAATTAACAATTGAGTACAGTGACCAGAAAATGTACAAAAAGAGCATGTCACAACATTCAGGTGTTCAAGTGGAATGTTCCATGGAATCTTGCAGTTTTCTCACCCAATTGGCTTTTATTCATGTATGAGCCTTGAAGATGACAACAACTTTTTGTAGCACCTGTCATGTTGGTAGGATGTCCTAAAGTCCTGGATAGTCGTGAGTGCACCCGAGGTGGGGGTTGAATTTGGGAGGAGTGGGGGCCAAAGTGCGTTGGGTGAAGTGGGGGACATGAAGCAGGTGGTGGGGTGGGGTCATGAAGCAGTCCAGTCAGTGCCTGCTGAGCGGAGGGAGCGGGCAGGTCGTAGAGGTAGGATGGGGCAAGACCATGGAGAGTTTGGAAAGTGAGAATGAGAACCTTGAACTCAGTCTTCTGGGAAATGGGGAGCCAGTGAAGCCGGGTGAGGATAAGGGTTGGCTTCATCGTGCAGTGTCTTACATTTTCTGACGTAACTTGAAGTGTTTAAAATTTACTTGCGTGCTATTTGAAGTCTGTGGTACAAAAATTGCAATAAAACCTCAGGTGGCTTTTAGAGTCACCAAAATGTACTGCAGTGGTACAGGGAAACCTTATTATAATGTTCTTCAATATAGCTATTTATTTTACTGTGAACTTGCACCAAGAAGAAATATGGTGGTTGCTCTGCTGACTAGCCAACTTCCCATGGTAACAAATGGCTAATTTCCAGATCAGCAGGTTGCTGCTGATGTAATGGCAATGTGCAGGCGTTGTTTAGTGACCACCTGATGAGCCAAGTCAGATATTTTCCATGCCTTGCTTAACCCATGGTTGGTAAGACATTGTACCCAGATGACTGCATTGCATATATTGATCTGGTTTATTTTGAAATTAAGTCATTATATATATGGATTCCATGAATTAAAGGTGTTTCATACTGCCACCAAAACAATATAGTGTTTCTAGATTACGGACCCTAAATTAAAATATATTGGAGAGTGTGCAGAAGGTACACAAGAACAGACTTTGACCGTTTCTATTTTTGTTCTATGAGAAATGCTAGGCCTCTTAGTGCTTTCTCACAAGAGCATGGTGGGACTTCATATGGGAATTCTGTTTGCAAACTCACATCCTTCTGTTTTGTAGAACCATCAATTTTGATTTAATAGAATAATAATAATAATCCTTACATTTTGAAATAGTGCCTTATCACAAAGTTGAGACATTTCAAAGCACTTTACATAATATTTAGAATTTAAGCTGAAAAGTTTTGGATGACTTGGCAGTGTAAATGTTCTAAGTATAATTTTGCTTACTCCAGGAATGGGACATTTCACTTCTTTCATTTGAATACGACTCTGAACCTTTTGGCAAGGAGCGAGATGCAGCTATCAAGAAACTAGCCAGTGAAGCGGAAGTAAAAGTGATTGTAGATGTTTCACATACATTGTACAACCTTGACAAGTAAGTTACACTGTACACCCTTAACCAGTAAGGCCCTATCACCATGTTAGTGTTGAGTATGAAAATTTTAAATTAATGCCTGAAAGTGTCTGCGATAAAATGTATGTCATCTTTTCGAATTGCATTTTTAAAGCAACTTAAAGTGGGCCTTTATTGTAAACTATTGTAGTACCTGATTTCTGACACTGGATGCTGCTGTAGGATTTGCATTGCGCACTTGGAATTTTCAGTCGTAGAAATCTGGGACTATGGCAAATACAATTAATCTTTCTGTTACATTGTGTCGTGAAAACTAGTTTCTGGGTCAATTAGGGGACCATGGTAGAAAATGGATGCCCTCCCAAATTGTTACCAATAGCTAGATATTTGAACAATATGGGTTGATCACATACAATTTTTCTAGTTTAGATTTTTATTTGCAGTGCACAATAATCCTTACACTTGATCTTCCCTTGCGCCTTTCACGTCAGGAAGATTCTCAAAGCACTTCACAGGATTTACTGTAAAGTGTACTAATTGTGCATTTTGCAAGCGAACATTGCCAAATGTACTTCATGTGGACTAACTTATCCCACTTTAAAATGACAATATTTTCCACTAACTCCATAATGGGATGAAGACAGTTAAAATATTGTTTTTTGGAATAGTTGAGTTAAACCCCTGAAAATCTCTTTACCTCTTAAACCTTTGCTAGAATCAAGGAATGTTATAGGATAATCTCCCTAGCTGTATAGAATTGTAAATTTATAGTTCGAGCACTGAAACAGAGTAAAAAAGCACCTGATATTTAAAACTGTTGCCTCTTTTTGCAATGTTATTAACCCAATTATTAAAAGCACATAAATTAAATTTGTTTATCTTATGAACCCAATAAACTCTCGGATAATTACTCATTCTATATTTTTATATACATTACTGTTTTTGGAAAATGGGTTGACTGGTTAAAAAGAGCTGCAAGGATTAGTAAATTAAAAGGCCACCCAGAATGATGTTGTTCCTGAGCTGGATCTTTCTTTACAAAAATACTGACCATGTGAAAGATGTTATGTAAATTTGTATACTACTTTTCAGCTAATTAAGATTAATGAAACTAGTTTCAAACTTGGATGTTTGTTTAAAAATCTATTGAATTTTTCTTTGAATAGAATTATAGAGCTGAATGGTGGACAGCCACCACTGACATACAAACGATTCCAAACACTTATAAGCCGAATGGAGCCCCTGGACTTGCCAGTAGAAACGATTACCCGAGAGGTAATGGGAAGATGTACAACGCCTATTCTTGATGATCATGATGAGAAATATGGAGTCCCATCATTGGAAGAATTAGGTATGAAGAATTTTTTTTTAAAAAATGCTGTAGATTTCTAACAGCGTTATAATTTCTGCAGCTCCTGGTTGTACAGCTGGTTAACTCTTGATTTGAATTCAGAGCATAGCTGTGGAAATTTGGTATTGGTATTTATGGTACTCTTTGGATTGATGCAGAATGTCGAAGTGCAGCTTCAACAGTTATTTTGATAAATATAACAGTCTGGTTTAGGTGCTAGCAATTGTGATGCTGGTCTAGTCATAATGCTGGAGAGGACTGACAATCTGGTTCATCCATTGGATTTTTGACAGGATGAGCTTTGGCATGAAGCAGATCATTCTTATCACTGGCCTGAATGGTTTGGACAATATTGAGTACAAGACTGATGTGATACAATGCTTGCATTTGGTATAGAGCAATATCACATCAGAAGGATATCTCAAAGTGCTTCACAGAAATTACTGTGAAATAAGAGTGACTATAATTTGTAGGCAAATGCGGCAGCACAATTGCACACATTGTGATGTTTTGTCTTCCATGTGATAAGCAGGAATACATTGTTCTGCTACTAGGTGGATGTATGCTTTGTAGAACGTTAAAGTTTCTAGTGTTTACATTTGGTCCGAAACACTGATTGTTCTCCTGACGTGAAAGGCGCTATACAGATGTAATTTTGTCGTTAACATAACATGTAGGAGCAGGAGTAGGCCATTCAGCCCTTGTTAGTGTTTAGCTGCTTGGGGATTTTCAAACGTGCACCTTTTCTGCCTCTCTTTGCCATATATTTGCCTCAGTTGAGATGTGACTACCAGGGCAAGGAGCAGAAAGCCTGTAACTAAAGCCTTTACAATCCTTGCAGAGTGTTGGTGTGTGGGCAACATCATGGTCCATATTTCTCTATTGACTGGTAGTTCTTGGTGCTGAAAGTAAAACACCATTTTTCTGTCTACCAACATTGATTCGGTCGCTGCTTGTCTTTCAGATGGAGAGCTGTCCACAATTTAGAGGTTGGTGTCATCAGCAAAGAACTTCACTTGTGGTTACCTCCACCTCATGAAGATGAGAAACTGAGTTGGGCCAAACGTGTTTCCTAGATGGACCCTATGTAGGTGTTGCAATAAGACAACAAGTGCCCAGTTTATGATTACTCAGTGTATGTCATCTGAGAAGGCTGCATATCCAATTCAGCAGCTCATGAGATATACCCTAAAACAGGCCAACTGCTCAGTGATGCCAGGATGGCATACTTTATCAAAGGCTCTAGAAATATCGAAGGTTACTGCTGGGCATTGGGGAGACTACTTCAATTTCTGTTTTGCATGTTTGCTAACATCATAAGTAACATTTTGTCAATGGCAATTTGGTGACTAGTTAGCAAGTTGTTGCAATAGTTTGTGATTTGCATCACATTTGAAACTATTGTCAGGAAGAACATTGTCTGATATTGGGATGTGACTTTGATCCCTTCTTTGAGAAAGACCAAATGCAACTTTCTAAGATCAAGTTTTGAAAAAGTTGTATCTTAATACCTGATCTTAATTTGGAATGCTTAACTTAATACCTTGTTTTAGCTTTTTTTTAACCTGACTGGATCCAATGATTTTACAGCAAATATGATCAGCTACCCTACTTTATTCATGTAGATGTGGCACATAACTTCATTCTTAAAGGGATAGTGCAGCTGGAATTGATATTGGAACTGGTTTGACTGTCTTTCTTAGGCCCTTGAAAGCTGTCTGAGAATCTCGTAGTTTGCAGTTGCTCTTGCTTGCATTTCCGTTGAGTTGATGACCGGGCGTTTACTGCGACTTAGTATGAAGACGAGTTTCTCTGTTCTTTTGGTTTCCTGAACTACGCCATCTATCAAATTATTTCTGTTTTGCTTAACAACCTATTTCATTCAATAGGCTTGTCAGCCAATGAATAGCTGCATAGAATGGATATGGCACTTGGCAATGTAAATAAGATCTCCTTGTTCAGAACCCAGATGAAATCTGACCTTTTGATTGGTTGGGATGCTAATCCAAAGTAACCTGTTCTTACTTGAGGCCATTCCAGTTGACCCAATTACTGGCCAAATCTTACACTTTGGGGATTGCTTTCTTGAAGGGAAGAAAAGAGCTCTTGGGTTGCCAATGAATTGCTCAGATGAGCCAAATTACGCTTTTGAATTCAGATAACAGAAGATTTGATCAATGTTGTATATGTAAGACTAACTGTAAACGATGAAAAGCCAGTTATGTTAGTCAACATAAGCCAATATAACTGCAAAGAAGACACCACACCACAGCTGGGTTTTTTTCTTCCACCAAGCCCTTGTGGCAGCAACTGAAGTTAATAAATTATTATGAAAATGGAACTCTCCTTGAACTACTATTGTCCAAACCATTTCAAAGCTACCTGCTTTCATACCTACCCTTGAAGGTAGCTGATAATTTCTAGTTGGATTTTATCAAGCCTGTATCTGCCATGGTCCAAATGAAAGTGATCCTAGCTAGTGTTGGATGAAATATAATTGTACTTCCTACTTCATAAAGAATGATGCAAAGACAAACCAGTGTCAGGATTGTCAGTACTTTGCAGCACCAACAAGAAGAAAGTTGTCCCAAAGACCAGAGATGTTTGTGGAAATGTAAATTTGTGGTTAGCTGTTTATGAACTGTCAGTTTTTCAACAGCAATTTCTGAGGCAAGTCCCAAGATTCAATTGTAGCTACAGTACAGTTTGTGATGTTGAAATTTGAGATTTGGAATGCAGTTTTTGTTGTATGAACTTTGCACCCTGTCCCCTATCAGTATCACTGAAACAGCATCCTGTTTGGGGGTTTCAGGAGATAGAGAGAGGGGGGAGAAAGCAGAGAGAGTGGATTAGAGTTGCAAAAGCGCTGGCTTTAGTGAAATGCTTATTGAGATTAAGCAGAGCAGGCTGTGCATGCTGCCGTCAGATCACAAAGCTGAAATCTTTTGCTACCCCACCCCACTAACACTATGATTTCAGGGCTATATGTGAACGCAGTAGGGCTAACAGTTGGATCTTTCCTATCCATGTTTCACATGGGTGTGGACCCCAGAAATGTGTTCTTTAAATAAGAATGACATGGCTGTCTCCAGAATTATTTTTGTTTGGTTTCCAAATTGCAAAGGAAATCAGAGTTTCTTAAGGGTTCATTTCTTTTTAATATATCAAGGGTAGTACTGTGTGCATATTTGTAGTTACAATATATGAATAACTGAAGGTTGATGGAGAAGTTTTAATTTTCGTTATGTGATGCCTGTCATAAGTGAGGGCTATTTCAATGAATATTGTAAACATGTTTTTAGCTACAGGTAAAACAAACAAAACTGAAATATGTTTACTGTTGTTTATTTGGGTTAAAATGATTCCAATATAAAATATGATTAAAAACAAGCAATCTTGCTTTCAAAATAGTTGGTAACCTTTCTAGGGAGAAGGGAGAGAAAACAAAACAGAATGTTGAAAATCTGAAATGGAAACCAAATTGCACATCCATTAAGATGGTTAAAACAAGGAAAACTAGGAATATTACAGATATGGCACTTAACAAAATTAAAAAATTACGAGAAATGTTAAACTCTTACAAAATACTCTATGCATGACTTTTTGTGGGACTCTGCTGCGTTTTGCCCAGAAAAATACGGTCAGTTCGCTTTACAGTGTATTCGTGAAGCACTTTGACACGTCTCGAAGATGTGATATGGCACTATAACAAATGCAAGGATTATTATGATATTATTAACTGTTTGGCCTGCTGTGGATAACCAATTATTGATTCATTTAATTTTAGGTCTACTTCATTGATCTGACCTCAGTTCAGTTCTGTCCGAGTTGAAACTTGTTTGTGCAATGAATCCATGTTTGTTGGTACAAAAAATGATAGAACTGTTTACTGCAGTAAAACAGATGTTTTCATCTTTCCATTTTTAGGCTTTGATACAGAAGGTCTATCATCAGCTGTGTGGCCAGGTGGGGAATCGGAGGCTCTTACAAGATTAGAGAGACATTTGGAGAGAAAGGTAAAAATACAATCCTATCCTTCTTTAGGAGAGGGGGAAAAAGCGGGTTCTGCTTTAAAAACTAGTAGATCAAAAGCTACAACCTTTTTCTAGACAAAACTCAGTTTGTATTCGGATTGTGCTCTTATTGGGGCTTCCACCTGAGGATGGTCTAATGAGAACAGGGGTGGCTTGGTGGGTAGGCGGATGGAGGTGTGATTAGACAGGTGGATGGTCTAAATGGGAGTGAATACTCACTGTAGTCATAAAACGTTGCTGATTCCACACCATGATTTTCTTACAGCCTTATGTATTTAAAAATTAGTAATATAGTTTGCCTGTATTATAAGAGTTGGTAAGCTTGTACATCTTGCATTTGTCCTAATCAACAGATGTCAGCCTCGTTTTCACCACATTTGTTTCTCCTTGATTTTCAGGCTTGGGTGGCAAACTTTGAAAGGCCACGAATGAACTCCAATTCACTCCTTGCGAGCCCTACCGGGCTGAGTCCATACTTGCGATTTGGTTGTTTGTCGTGCCGTCTCTTTTATTTTAAGCTGACTGACTTGTATAAAAAGGTAAGCCTGGGTCAAACATTTCACAAGAAGATTTACAATGTAAAATCAAATAATACAGTAATGTGTTCACTATTGCATTTTGATTAGATGATAATTAACAGACAAATGAACATTCATTTTAGGTATGTTTGTTGGAAGTGTTTTCCATCAGACTCCAAAATTGGATTATTTGTTTGCCTAAGGTAGATTTCTCTGACCTCCTCACTCCCCAATCCACCACCCGGTACCTCCGCTCGACTGGTACCAGCCTCCTGCTCGTCCCTCCACCCTCCGCCCCATGATCGGGGTTTGTGCTTTCAGCCACTACGCACCAAAACCCTGGAACACTCTTGCTCAGTCCCTCCTCCTTCCCCCCCCCTCCCCCTTTTCAAGTTCCGCCTGTCGACCGTGCTTACGGCTACCTTCCCCCCCCTCCTCCACCTGGCTTGGAGTCGGGCTCCGCCACTTTTAAGCGCTCTGAGACGCTACCCTGCGTGGAGGGCGCTATATAAGTAAAAATTTATTGGTGTGGGTTTGTGAACATATAGTAATAATAAATAATCCTTGATTTGATATAGCAGTATCATGTCATTGAGAATTTTCCAAATACAAGGTTTTACTGTGAAGTTTAGTGGCAGTGGAAAATGTGGCAGACAATCTGGGCCTTGTAATATCCCACAAACGGCCATGAAATAAATGACCAATTTAACTGGGGAACTGTTGGTTAGGACACTAGGAGAAACTCCCGTCTCTTAAAGTATTACATGGGAACTTTAACATACACCTGAATTTATGGTTGATGGGAGACACTGATAAAGTGCTGTTACTTTGAGGGAGTCAAGAATCACAGTCTGTTTTGGTGGTGGAATTCTCAATAATAAAACTCTTAACTAATATCTGGTAGTAAAGCTACTCTTGTTTATTTTAGCAACTATATTAGTCCTGCAGTATAACTTTGAAATGCCTTCATTTAATTTCCCCCGTCGTTTCCAACAGGTAAAGAAAAATGGCTCTCCTCCTTTGTCTCTCTATGGTCAACTGTTATGGCGTGAATTCTTCTACGCAGCTGCTACCAACAACCCCAGATTTGATAAAATGGAGGGAAATCCTATTTGTGTCCAAATTCCATGGGATCGAAATGCTGAGGCTTTAGCTAAGTGGGCAGAGGGAAAGACGGGATTCCCCTGGATTGATGCTATAATGACACAGCTCCGTCAGGAAGGCTGGATTCATCACTTGGCCCGTCATGCAGTAGCGTGTTTTTTAACAAGAGGTGATCTCTGGATTAGTTGGGAAGAAGGAATGAAGGTGAGTTAGATGGAGTAAATTGTAATTCGAACTACTTTCGGTAGGCTTCTTCAACTATAGCACTTCTGGTATATAGCACTGCTTATAGTTCTTTGCACTTGGATTTCACAAAAAGAAACTTTTTTTTGTAGATTATTGTTAGGTTCAATCTTTTGGTTATCCAGATTCTTTTAAATGAAATTTTATGATCAACGTTTGGTGAAAAGCAATGTTTGATGCAGCAGTTTTTGTTTATCTAGGTATTTGAAGAGTTGTTGCTTGATGCTGACTGGAGTGTCAATGCTGGAAGCTGGATGTGGCTCTCCTGCAGCTCATTCTTCCAACAGTTTTTTCACTGCTATTGTCCTGTGGGTTTTGGACGCAGAACTGACCCAAATGGAGACTATATCAGGTACTAATTGATTACTTCAGGTAACATCACCCCACTCCCCCCAGTTATATTTCCAATAGATTCTAACCAAAGTGAATGCCAACTGTAGAATGTTTAATCGAGCAGGGATTAGATTCCACGTTGCATTGTTAGTTCCTTTTCTATTCTTTTCTTTCCCTTCCCTCCCATTATGCAATGACCTATTTCAGCAAGCAGCTGATCAAATTTCAGTCTTGTAATATGCAGTATAATGAGAACCTACAAATTATTTTTGTGAGCTCATCTGTTTGTTTAAAAATACTTTTCACACATCGTATTTTGTGTAAATTCTACATTCCGTATTTTATCAGCAGTCTATTGATTCATGTCGTTCTTCTATGTTTCAGACGTTATTTGCCAGTACTCCGAGGTTTTCCTGCTAAATATATCTACGATCCATGGAATGCTCCAGAAAGTGTGCAAAAGGCTGCAAAATGCATCCTTGGAGTTCATTATCCAAAGCCCATGGTGAACCATGCTGAGGCTAGTTGCTTGAATATTGAACGAATGAAGCAGATCTATCAGCAGCTTTCCTGTTATAGGGGATTAGGTGAGGAGGGAGGAAAAATACATTAACTGCATAATCTATTTTTGTGTTTTGAAGAATTAACTGGTTCCTTAAAACGTTTAGAAAGAAGGTTCATTGAATGCACTGAATGTTCATTTTTACAACAGTACTTTCTTTCCAAACATTTAACTTTTTTAATTGAATTTCTAGGTCTCCTAGATTCAGTTCCTTCTAACCCAAATGGTAATGGTGGAATTATGGGATATTCGGCAGGAGAAAACACACATGGATGCAATAATCTAACAGGTGAGATGACCAGATCTTTGCTTTGGTGAGTGTATTGCAGTTAAAGCTTTACCCACTATACACATGAACTCATGTCACTATGGAAGTGCCAAAATAATACCTACTGCATCTGTATGCTAAGAAACATTCCATTTTTCATTAGGTGATCTGCCATCTACAAATGGAAACCATTCTCTGCCATATACACAGAGTGAATTCCAGTTGAGGAATAACCAGCAGCAAAGTGAGTAATTTCATGTTCTTTTTCTATTGCAGATCATTTAATAGGCAATTTACCCATTATTCTGATTAATTTGTCTCCTTTTCACAAATTCAATTCCATAGCCTCCATTCATTATGTCTTTTTATTTATATTTGATAATTCAAATGTGTCAGTGAAATACTGGCGATACATTTACTTGTCTTGTATCACCAGTGTTTCTAAAACCTTCTGCAAATCTTTACTGCATAATCAACTTGAGTCTGTGTCATAATTTAGAAAAATTTTGATGAGCACTTTTGTAAAATTGTTATTTTTGTTAATATCTTTCTGTAGGTTACATTACGGGAGTGAATGGACAAGGAAGCAATCTTTTGTGCTTTTCACAAAGGGACTCTCAGCTGTCTCATACCACTTTACTGCAGCAAGGTACAAAGATTTTATTGATTAAAAGACAGTGTTACATATTTAGTAACTATGTTTCAACTAAAATTATGATCCATGTTTTATCAGGCAGGAATACACCAATGTCTGGAAAACGCCATAGTCCAGAAGAAGAAATGCAAGGATTTGGACCCAAAGTTCAAAGGCAAAACAGTAACTAGGTAAATGTAGAACATTATTTTAAAGGACACAGCAAACGTTCTCCGAACAATGTATAGTAAACTCCTGATAACTTGTTACTCCAGGAGAAAAGAGCTCAGTGATGAGTTATCCAGAGTGGCCAGTTAGGCATACAGAATATTAGAATGCAGAAAGGGGCCAATTCAGCCTATCAAGCTAGTTTTCTTCACGTGCAGTAATGTTATGAGATATTATCTCCAGTTATCAAAATCACACTACTGGCTATGAAAGATTTTCATAGCAGCTTTTCGTCCATTATCTCAGTCAGAATTTAGACATAGTGCTCAACTATGGGGTAGAGGGGCGTTGGTGCTGTCTAGATTTGCTGCAGTCCATATCTGCATTGGAACTGTAATTCTTTGCTAATTAACTATTGTCTAAAATCTTAAATGTAAAAGCTGTGAATTTAGTACTTTCTGAATCCTTAATTTTTAGAGGTTTTGTATTCGATTAACTCCTGTCTAATGTTTCTCTGTTTCTAGCACATTTGGGAGTGGGAAGAATGCATAAGATTCATTTCCACACATTCTGATACTGGAGAGGTTATAGACATTGCCCCCAAGAGCACTTTTTCAGGAAAACAAATTTATGTGAAAATATACAAGAATAATGAAAAAATTCTGGATGCATTTCCATTTTTTAAAAAAGTTATGTTGGTGAAAGTACAGTATGATGTCTTGTTAAATACTTGTGTAAATTTTGTATTTCTAAATTAAATCTTGTAATCTTTGATACTTTGTTTTGTTTAGTTAGACATCTATTTTTGATAATCTTTCATGCAAAGAAACATTTACAAATGTTTTAGCATTGATTATGTAAAACAAGAGCAAAAATTGAGAGGCTTTTATATAAAAAAAAGTTATTTACTTTTCCTATGTGATCTTCTTGCGTCATGTCTTATCCATGTAACTTGATCATTTAGACCAGATTTTTACAGTGGGACCACTTACTTCGGTTAATAGGAAGCTCTATACCGGGCAATGGTGAGATACTCTGCTATTCAGGGATAGCACAATTGAATCAACTTTGTATCCCACTGTTCCCCAGTACATTCTGTTGCTCTATGCGTTGGATATTTCTGCTTTTGATGCAAATTTTAATTTGACAGCAGCTATTTCAAACACAAACATGCTTATATTACATTGCCATGTGAGCTGCCTGCTAGCTTTTCAGATTAATACCTGCCACCTTGAACAAAAACATTGAGCATTGTACTTGGAAGACTATCTGGTCCTAATTCTATATGGTTAAGTCACAGAGTAAATATTCGCGCAAGATCAGATTATGTAAAAAGTTCTATTATCAACAGAAAGTAATCATAGATTACACAAGATTTATTAATATTCTTGTAGATCATATGCACCATACAATTCTAAAGAGAACATTTCTCTATAATCTAAATTTGATTACGAGTTTATAAGCCTTTAGATCTACACTCGTAGTCCTTATAGAGTTGAGTTCAAATTGCTAGTCTCATTTTCTGTTTATTGGATTCAGTGTTTAGAACAGGTTTGTAATATAGATTTTAAGGCAGCCAGCCACATGAAAACCAATATTTATTTAAGTACTGGTCAAGACTGAGTTTTACAAGCTTTATTATGGATTACTGACATTTTATACATCTTTGTGTTGACAACTTCGCACTGATGCAGATTCTGTTTTACATCTGCAATAAAATAATAGGATAATCCATAGCGGTAGTTATTTATTATGTAGATCTTCATTTAGAAGGTTCCATTTATGAAAATAGATGTCAAATATCAGTACTATGTATAAATCTAGTCCACTTGTATGCAACTTGAAAAGTCTCATTGTTGGTGACTTGAGTTGAATGCAACTGCACTGGACTGAATATTAATTCTAACCCTGCTACATATGTTTTTAAAGTTATGATGATCTTATGTGTGTAAGTATGTAAATGCAGATTTGAAGGATATTGTCTTTTATTGAAAAATGGTTGTTTCTTGGTAAAACTTTTCGATTTACAATGCATTTGTGATTGTTATTAATAAAAAAAGATGTAATAAATGCTCTATGTGGACTTCTTTATTTCTTCTTATGTCAGTCTTGTAGGTTAAGTATGGCTACAAATTAAATTGGTCATGTAATGGTTGCTAAGGAGAAAAGTTTGTTATCCCAGAGAGGATTTTTTTTGTATGGATTCTATATGTTGTTGGGGGAGGGGAGTTCCTTATAGTGCCTGCCATTGTGGAAATGTAATTTGAACCATCACATAACTGGTTAAAAACATCTTGCAATACAGTGTAAATAGTCCTTCACTTCCTGACTGCATTGACATAAGTGTTGTCCCTGTATCAGTAAATTTGGCAAGCCTACTGTATTGGCAGAAAATCAAAAGATCTCCTCCAAGGTCTTTCCTGCCTTACTAAAATTAATTAGTAAGGAATATCACTGTGTTTGACAATTTTTTTTTGAATGTTACGGCACAGAAGGAGGCCATTCGGCCCATCAAGTCTGTGCCGGCTCTTTGACAGAGCAAGTCACTTTCACTAACCCCAATCACCAGCTTTCTCTTCGTAACCCTGCAAACCCATCTTCCCCAGATTAACCTGACAGACAATACAAAACCACCCAAGAGTAAAAACTACCAATTAGGAAAATTGGAAAAGTATTCACGTGAACAAACTATTTTGGTTGGATAAGATTTGTGTATCATGTATTCTAAAAATATATGTACTCTGTATAATCACATAAAATTTGAAGTTGTGCTGCTCGGGTATTGTAACCTGAAAGGACCTCTTCCCTCACTGCAGTGGGTCAATAAAGCTTACAATGGTTGATTGTTGAAACCGTCTTTGAGTTGTGTTTTATGTAGCGCATCTCGCCACGACACCATATCAAACTTTAATAATAAGGTGAATAGAAAATAATCTAAAACTTGAATTGTAGAAAATGATATGCAGTATTTGAGATAAGAATGAAATATATTAAAATTACATTAATTGTGCACGATAACTGCATCTCTAGAGCTGTACAAGCCAGCCCCTAGTCTCAAGGGCTCTGAGACTGTCCGGTGTAAAAGGCGCTATATGAACACAATTTGTTGTCTCTACTTAAACTAGTTTGGCAAAACCTTGCTAGAGTATTATCAGTCTCTGACCTTCTCCACCACATTCCTTCCTTTCTAACTTTACCCGCGTAACATTTTCCATCACAAAATGTAATTGACAATGGTAATTATTTCAGTAGCTTCCACTTGCATTAAAATTGATTGGTATTTACGTGGCACAAGAATGTTTCATTACAGTGTGTTGTTGGGAGCCACAGATGTTGCCTTCCTCCCGCTCCATAAAATGTAAAACGAAAGGTAAACTTTGACCCCAATTACTGTTTTACAGAACAGAAACCTGTCCGATCAGTTTTGTGAATTGCTGCAGCTTCTGGTTAAAGCTTTTGTTCTTTATGCCAAGGTTCAGTTCAGCTAGATCAATTTGTTATGCAAACTATTCTAAAACATTAGAATGGCTGAAATTAATCCCAAATCCATCTGTCTGATTGCAGCAGCTGAAAGAAATATGGGAATTGGCATAGATGGAGATTTGCCTTGGAATTTACCGTAAGTAAATTAGAATGTAATTTGTCATTTTAAATAAAGAGTAAGTATTGTATAAAGTAAGATTCTGATTAAAACCTCAGAAGCCAAGATTGCTGTTACCAATGTTTATACAGCTGAAAGTCCAGAGGTACTGTTTGCAGACGAAAAGCTGGTTTATAGTTCCTGCTTATACTTGCAATTGTAGATTGTAAGGTGTATCTAATAGCAGGAACTTGGATCTTAGTATTTTTAATATATTGATAAACTGTCCCCCCAAACATAACTTTAAAACTGTTAAATAATTAAAAGTTTTAAAAAGGCATGGTCGAAGAGGAGGGTCTGGAGATAGGTCTTGAAGGAGGCAAGGGAGTGGGCGAGGCAGAGGGAGTGCATCCAGAAAGTGAAAGGAAGCAGAAAGGAAACAATTGTTTGAATTTTTCTCATTGGTTTTATGCACATCTGAGAAGCTGATTCAGGGCACAGATAAAGACTGCTGCATCAGGTCTGTGCTCCTCCCTCTTTCACTCAGGGTGTAATAATATTTCTCACATTTGACATAATCTCTTTTCATGTTAGGATTAGAAACTTTTTTTCTATTGTCTATCCACCATAAATTAGTGCTCCGTCCAAATTTCCATTTCTAGCTATGCCAGTGGTTAGCATCTTTGTTCATTGACGAGCGAGAGCTGCTTCAGAATAACATTTGAGAGGAGGTAAACATGTGTATAAAGATGCGCAGAGGAACAGCTTTAGCCATATAATGCAATTTATTTACTAATTCCACCTGTTATCCCTCTTTGTAGGAATGAGCTTAACTATTTCATTTCAAAAGTCACCGCAGTCTCGACTCCAGGTAAATTTATTCAAAACCAATTTGTTTTGATTGTAAAATGCAGTCAAATCTGTCTTCAACAACCACTCAAGAGACCTGGCCAAATTGGCTTTTGTGCAAGGGAGGGCTCTGAATAATGACACCACCACCTTGCATTTATATAGCATCCCCGAGTACTTAAATAAGGGTTTGTTTGTGTGTGAAGTGGGCTGTCTGGATGGTTCCAGCTGCTGAATTGAGGCGGTTGTTTGAACAGTTTGACTGTATGTAGAATGAGTATTTACGAATGTTAGTTCACTCAGAAGTGACATTAGACCCCTGTTGGGGTGATTACTAACTCAAGGACATTTACTAACAATCAGAGTTAGTAACCTCTAAGTTACTAACTCTAACGTAGGGTATGAACTCCGATTGTTGGTGAATGTCCAGACCGTGATACTGTGAGTTATTGCCACTGAGTATTTTTATACTGTTTAAAGTTTCTTCATATCTGTGCAAATATAAATTATGCAATTGTAGCATATTGCTTCACATAGTCAAGAATAACCTTCGATCTGAAGCAGAGTATCTATGTGCAGGGTTATGTTATGTTCCAATATTTAGATTCATGAGAATGGGTGCAGAATGTCAGCTTGGCTCAGTGGCAGACTTGCCTCTGAGTCCGAAAGTTGTGGGTTCAAATCCCACATCAGTACACTCCAAATCAGCACTATGTGGGGGTGGGGATTGCATTGTCGGAGATGCAGTTCTTCTGGTGAGACTTTAATCCGAGGTCCCGTCTGCCTGTTCAGGTGGACATTAAAGATCTCATAGCTCTATTCGAAAAGAGAAGGGAGTTTCTCCTGGTCCTGGCCAACAATCCCCCAAATAAAACGGGTTCACTCTTTCATGCCTGTTTGTTTTCTGCACACAGTGCAGAAGCTGTTAAACAAAGAGTAAAAGGAACTGTCTGTGGCAGAGTTACCTTTCAGAAGGGGTTTGTGTCTGGGTGTCCAATGTTAGATGTTAGATCATATCTGTGATCTTCCAGCAACAGGAACACACCAAGACAAGACAATGTCCTGTTACTACAGTGAAGATGAGTCATTCTTCTGATAGTGGGAGTGAAAGGATTAGCTGTTAGTTCCTCAAATATCTGCCGGACTTCCTTTCCAACAGACAGCACTGGCTAATGATCAGCAGACAACCTCCCTTAATGACCACCCTTTATCTCGCACACACCTTAGGCAAAACTTGTGAAGCTTCCTCTTTGAAGGGAATGCCAGATGAGAGGAGATTTTGAACTCTGAACCTCCAGGTGAGAGAATTTCCTGCAGCTCAAGCCCCTCAATATTTGTTTTTATGGTTCTCCCTGTTGGTGATTGGCGGATTGCTTTTCCGGGGGTAATAATTGCTTCAAAAAAATAATAACAAATAATAACTCTTCAATCCAAGACTATTTGTGGGACACTGCTGTGCGCAATTGGTTGCCGCGTTTCATCCACAAAATATACAGTCAATATACACTTTACAGTATATTCTGTGAAGCGCTTTGAGATGTCTTGAAGACATAATGAGGCGCTATATCAAATGCAAGTATTATAAGTTTACAATTTTCCCCCATTCTAAAGCAGTCATTGCCAAAAGCTCAGTCAATTAGTAATAAGGCGCTAAATCAAATGCAAGGACTATTATGCTTTAGGGCCTTTCCATGATTTAGATACAGCTATCATATCCAGAAAAAAACATGGGCTAAAACCTCAGACAAATTTCACATGTTCAAATAATCACATACCTTTTTATTTTCACTCCCAAATTACAGATTAATATTAATAATAATAATCCTTGCATTTGATATAGTGCTTTTCACGTCTTCTAGACGTCTCAAAGCCCTTCACAGATTATACTGTTAAGTCAATTGACCCTAATTGTGGGCGAAACGCAGCAGCCAATTGCGCACAGCAGCGTCCCACAAACAGTCGTGGATTGAAGTGACCAATTTATTATTTTTTTTCTTGAGGAATTATTATCAGGTGTGCGGAGTAAGGAAACTTGCCCAAGGTTTCACCCTGCCGGGAATCGAACCCTGGTCGATTACCAATCTTATTTCAGATTTGGTAATTTGTCAATAGAATTTCTATCCCTCTGTGTAGATAACCCATATTTGTCAAAGGTAAGGATTTTTATTTCATTACATATTTACAATACACCTTTGCTTATTTAAATAATCGCAATGACTGCTTGTGGGAATGTGAAACTGTAAAAGTGCGATACAATGGAATGATGAGACTCATTTATTTATGCCATTATTAGGCAAGAAAAACCTTCTTATTTGCGGTAGAAGAAGTTGTCTCCCAAGCTATTTATCTGCACCAAACTGCTATTTTGTAGTTCTGAGCAGAACCTTAAGGTAAGTTACATTAAACTTGAAATAATCTAACTAGAGTTATAAAGTTGTACTGAGAGACAAACTAATAACTTGTTGTCTGGGAATGTTCGAAGGAATTCACAAGGATTTAATTTTCACGTGTTAAAAAAACAACCTTTTTTCTGCTTTTCTTTAGCCAGCTAGGTGTCTGACACATGTAATATCCATCATCATTCTTTAAGGGTATTCAAACCAGACTGACTCAGAGTTCCACATGTTACACAAGACGTCATAAGAATTCCTACTATTTAAGGAATAGCATCAAGCTGTGTCTTAAATGGGACCTAAACCACCCTTCCTAGTACCCTATTCTAGTCATTAATTATTTTCTGGATAAAGAAATAAAAAAAAAATATTTTCAGGATTTAGTGCTTTTCACGTTAGTGGACCATCCCACGGCACTTAATAGTTTGTCCATGTTTACCCATTGTGGTGACATGTTAGTTTGGTGAGCCAAGTGTTAGTACAACAACAACAACAAAATTACATTTGTATAGCGCCTTTCACGTCGGGAGGACAGCACTGTCGTCTCTGAGTCAAAAACTTGCGAAGCTAACTGGTCTGAAATCAACAGCGCTTTAGAACAGTGTTACACACCTGCCTGGTTCAGGAACTGGAATATCAAGACTGCCACAGGGAACTAACTCGATACCAAAATTACCTAAGCTCAAAAAAAAGGTCCTGCTTACTTCCCCCTCCCTCCCTCAATCCTTCTACAATCAAAAGCAGATTAAATATTAGCGTCTGCATCATGAATGGGTTACAAGTCTCTTTGATGTTTTTCTTTATTCATGTGTCATATATGCTGATAGCAAACAAGAAGTGCCTTGATAATTATTTTCCATTTTGTTGAAATAACAAACCGGAGATCAAAAAAAATATTATTTAACCTAATGCGACCCTTTCTTCTACAGCTACGCAAATCCTACCCAACAATAGACTTCTCTTCTGCTCCTCATCCACCCACCCACCCACTTCATCTGTATAAATATTCCTTGAATCGCAAAGATAACCAAGGAAAAGCTTCAGAGTGCTCAACCATAGTATATTTCCCTGCACTGACAACTCTTTCAGCCCTAACAGCATTGTGACTCATGGCATACATATTCAATTCAGTCTACACCTCTCCCAATGTCCTCTATTATGTTCTCAAGTGTACATTTATCAAATTCTCATTTGAAGGAACTAATAATTGCAGGATTAATGACTGTTCTTTGCTAGAAGTGTGCTCCACATTATTCCCTACTCTATGGGGAAGAATATTCTTCAAATTATCCATGTTTTAAATAGCCAAGTCGTCAGGTAGTTTTCCTAAAACTGCATACAATATAGTCAACCATATACTGAGCGCTAAAAAGAATGATTTTTTCGCTGTGTATTTTTAATGCAGTTTCCCATTAACTCAAAGGTGAGGATTGAATAAAAATATCATGAATAATTCTCAAGTAAAGATTTCTTGTAAGAGTAAATCAGTTTTTATCAATACTGCATCAAATCCATTTGCTGCACCACCTAATTTACAAGCTGCAAATTAAGCAAAATCAATGAATAACCTGCATTTTATGTCTTATCATATATGTCTTATTATGTCTGTTTGCAGTGCTGTGCCAGACAACGCCAACTACCTCTGCCAAAATCTGAACAGTGCTCTTCAGCTTACATCGATACCTCCTCTGAGTGAGGAAATTGAAACAATATGGGTTATAGGTGGAGCAAAGCTGTTTGAGGTAAGGCCATGAAAAGTATCATCTAGTACATCAGGCAAGAGTAGGAATGTAAATTTGGGAGCTTTATATCAATGCCACCTCAGTTAGGGGTATTTTTTTACAAGGACCTTTTCATTTTTAGAGGGGAAAATTGGAAACCCAGTCCTATAAAATCTAACCTTTTCTCTGGATTAGATCCCTCCTGTTCCTTTACATAGAACATGTTTCAGCCTGGCTCAGTTGGTAGCACTCTGCCCTCTGAGTCAGAAGGTTGTAGGTTCAAGCCACGTGTAGGGACTAAGCTGACACTCCAGTGCAGTGCTGCGGGTGGGTTGCATTATTGGACGTGCTATCCTTTGGATGAGACATCAAACTGAGGTTTGCCTGTACAGGTAGACGTTAAAGATCCAATGACACTACACAGAAAAAGAACGGGGTTGTTCCTGGTGTCCTAGTCGACAATCCCCCAAATAAAATTAGTCATTCATTTCATAGTTATTTGTAGGACATTGTTGTGAGTAATTGGACTGCCATGTTAACCTACAAATACACAGTGATTCCACTTCATAATAAATCCTGCGAGGCGCTTTTAAACGTCCTCCTGACATGAAAGACACTGTAGGAGTAGGCAAATTATATGTCAAAGATGGTTAATAGTAATAAACTATAATAAAAAGGTATTTAAAACAGATTTCTAATAATGGATATCCTAGAAAAAGTAGCCAGTTCCTTTGGAACTATATCAATGAGATACGTTGCAGCACTTTTAGATGATAATTTGTTTTATGTTCTACACATAGGAAGCCAGTAAACATCCCTGGTGTGAACGCATTTACCTTACAGAAATCATGGCTGATTTGGATTGTGATACCTTCTTCCCACAATTGGATTTTCACAATACCTTTAAACTGGTGGAGGGGTAAGTTTAGATGTTTCCTCCTTTTTGTTATTTGAGTTTAACAAAAAGCTATTCAGATATCAAAATATATATCCCCAACATTCAACTTTTCAATAAACATTTCCTTCTCCTCTTGTCTCTCCTTTGAAGGGGTTCCAGAGGCTCCACCCAGCCTCCTCACTCATCAAGTTTCAGATCAGATAGAATACAAATATTCTATTTTATAAATATTTTATAAATATTTTATAATATTTTATAAATATTTTATAAATATTTTATAATATTTTATAAATATTTTATAAATATTTTATAATATTTTATAAATATTTTATAAATATTTTATAATATTTTATAAATATTTTATAAATATTTGCGTTCGCCCACAAATATACAGTCAATTCACTTTACAGTGTGTTCTGTGAAGCGCTTTGGGACGTCCTCCCGACGTGAAAAGTGCTATATCAAATGCAAGGATTATTATTATTATTATTATTATTAATACAACACCTATTTATAATTATATAGCGCTTTTCCCATTGAGAAGACTCCTGAAGTGTTTAACGTCCCGAAACACTGACTGCCCCTATAGTTACAATGATTCTCACGTGCCAACTCTTTACACCTCCTAGGTTTCCAGGAGTTCCCAAAGAAATACAAGAGGAAAATGGCATCAAATACAAATTTCAAGTCTTTCAGAAAGTCCCCAGTTCTGGGTCTGAAAATTAATATATCCTTGTGTAATAATATGAGATGGAGTTTCAAGATATTAAAAATATTAATTACCGTATTTAGATTCTGGTGTGAGTGAGGTCCTGTGACCTCCTTTCTGCTTTGTGTTGAATTCCCTTTTTAATGACCACAGGCATCTTGTTCGATACAGATCTTTTAAATCTTAAAATTATATTTAATATAGCTGGATTGATGGACATTATTCATTCTGCCTATCTTAATTACTTTATTTGTTTAGATATTATGAAATAAAATGAAAATCTCTCATTTTGCGTCACTACACGGTTTTAGCACGTCTCAGGGAGTTTGAATTTAATAAAACAAAATGATAAATGGAATGGTAAGATTTGCATTGTTTGTTCCTCATTTTCTTTCAGACTCTACAAACCACATATCTAACCATCAATCATGTTATCTTTTATGTTTGTAAACATGAATTGTGATTCTCCAAGCTGACAAGTGAAGGTTATTCCCTCACAATACTTGATCAATTCCAGCAAATTGGGCTAATTTCTATGATTGTTTGAAATAAGTTTGAAACAAATAAAGAGTACACTTTGAGAAGTGACTGAATGGATAGAGAAAACCAATACGTTCTTATAGGCCAGGGTACCAGAAGAAGGTTGTGAAAGGTAATTTTAAGACAGATGTCAAGAAGTCAAGGACACTGCACTTTAGGAAACAGTTTATTGCTAGAAGGACGAGATGAAATGGGGCACAGGGCCTTCCTCATTCCAAACTTTTGGCCTTGTATATCGATTTCCTTAAACTGTTTTGGCACCATGATCTGCTCACAGAGGTATAACAGAAATTAGATTGCCAAGATTGTAAGATGTCACAGACCACAACACACCAAGTGATTACCAGTGTATAACACAGTCTACCAGCATTTCTAATACGAGCGTTCAAATAGACAAATCTTTATGAACCATTGAAACTAGATAGGAAACTTTGTGTGAATTCAAACAGCGAATAAAATACAGTAACCTCTGCAAACATTGAGTGTTGGTTTATTTGCTTTTGACGATAAAATTATAATTTTTTAATAGAAAAGTTAGATTTGAAGTTTAGGATCAAAACGTAAACTCCATCCCACAGAAAACTCTTCCACATTATATTTATAGTTACATTTTCTTGACATGATTATACTAACAATATTCTATGAATTATCACTAATGCAGTTTATGGCACAAATGTTCTTAACCAGATCCAACATTGAAAATGTAACTGCCTCAGGCGCTACAAAAAGGATCCTAAAGGACCGACCCAAGGCAGGGCAAAATCATCAATCCCAGTTCAGTGTGTATATCATGCTTTAATGAGAAGAAGCTTTCCCTTAGGGAATAATATTGTGCTAACATACATTTCTCTGAAGTCACTTTCACACAAAAAACAGATTTATACCTCTTTCACCAGGCGCATTCAAGCTCTTTTTGGTTATTACTGTATTTAAGTTTATATGAGCTTTATCCGTTGCAGCTTTTGTTCCGAACACGAATCTGATATAATTTAAAATTGCCTTTTTCCTTTGATCATGTTCACTGTGGAAAAGAAGAAAGGAAGGGAGGTATAAAAGGGAGAACTGTACCTTGTACATTTCTATCTAGGTTATGTTAGAAGACAGATCAGGCGAGTCACTAAATGCTCTTTTTAACAATTCTCTTTCTTGAGCCACAAGGTAGGAGATATTTGAAGTCTATTTTTTTTCCTTTCCCCGTAGAGACTTGGCATTTCAGATCTCAGCAGGGAGCTGCTTGGTTGAAGTCAGCTACAGGAGAGAAAGTAAACAGCTACATCAAATATGTTACAGATCAGCTCCTTTTTATGTCTTTGGTGTTAACTGAAAGGTATTTGGGTTGGAAAAAAAACTCAGTACAAGGTAGAAAAAACAATCATTAATTTTCAATACCCCTGCTTTCTGCTTTGTTGAAATTATGATTTGTTCTTTGTGAGATATATAACCACTGACATATCTTAAGATGCATTATTTATCAGGTAAGTAAGTCATATTTACTTACCTGATAAATAAATATTTACAGGATCAACACTTTCATTAAATATTGAGGAAGAAAATATCTTTCAGCCTGTCTCAGTTGGTATCACTTCTGAATCAGCAGTTTGCATAGCTACATTGAGTGATATGGCAAGGAAACAGGTTATTTGGCCCTACTAACCTGTGCTGGATTCCACTTGAAACTTTACTTATCGTCCTCTATTCCCTCTCCCTAATTTATACATCATTTTATCTCAAATACATTGATGAGGATCGAGGGTTCCAGATCAGGACTTTGAATTCATAGTCTAGGCTGACACTCCAGTGTAATACTGGAGGAGTGCTTCATTGTCACAGGTGCCATCCCTTGGATGTGGCGTTCAACCAAGGTCCTCTCTAACTGTTCAGGTGGACATTTAAGATTGCACAGGGTATTCAAAAAGAGAAAGGAGTTGCTCCCGGTCTCCTGAGCAACAATCTACTGGATATAATTGATCATTCACTTCATGGTTATGGGAAACTGGCGCAGTCAGCCTAGCTCATCAGCAGGACATAGAAGAGCAGACCAGTCACTGGAGGCAGGAACTCTTCCCATTAAGGTCCCTTCAACCCTGCAAGTCAAATCCCTAATGGGTAAGGTGTGCTTCACTGGAAAAACAGTGAGAAAACTTGCCAGACAGGGCTCTTAATGGCAAGCTTTGCGTTTTTAACTGGTTAGACTCCAACGGTACCCCAACACACACTCTGGGGTCCCCCAAGCCTTGGCTATTGTGCCTAATATTCTCCAGAATTACATGAGCAGGGTGTGTCCCTCCAGGGAGAGAAATTTCCTTGTTTTGGTGGGATGCATGGAATTCTCAGTTTAGTTTGGTTACTTTTAAGGATGGTGATGGGTTTCCACCTGTGTCAGACACCCAGCTGACCACAAAAAAAACACAATACTCCAGAGAGATGCCCTGAGGTGTTGAAAGTCTCTTTTCTAATACAATGTCCACATAAGTAACCCAACTAACTTTACTTTCATGTGGGAGAAGGTTTAGAGCTCATCAGCAAGAGTATGAGTACTTTCTGGACCAGAGGTTTATTAAGATGGAACAGTGATGCCACCTTTGACAGAAACTCCAGTGAGAGATGAATGAATTGTTAGTGAAGATTTTTTTTAATAAGCCAACAGCGTGAGCAGAAACTTGAGTACATGAAAGGATTTAGAACTAGGTTACCGCTACACTTAGGGACCAGTCCGTTTAGATAGATTCTTTAGCACAAGTGTTGTAAAGTGTATGAGCACAATGTTGGTGCAGTAATTTATGATGTGGAAACATCTCTCAAAGAACTTCATGCAGTTAGTTACTTTGAAGTATACTAACAGTTGTTTATACACAAATGCAGCAGTTAAATTGCAAAGAACATTCCTCAAACAGTAATGAGATAGATGAATGACCATAAATTAGTTTGAATGGTGAATATGCATGACGGGAGAATATTGGTCAGGACACTCGATGAACTCTTCTTTGAATTTGTAAAATTGGATCTTTAATGACCATCTCTTAGTTAGTTCAAATGCCTCTTGTTTTTACTTCTAATACATAGTACCTTGCAATTATTTTTATCAACCTCTATTTACCAGTGATCACCTTTTTGTTAAACAAAATGAGTTACCTTGATGAAAGGTGAAGGCCCATAGTCAAGGATATCACCACGGCTGAATAGAGCGAGGGAAGACAAATAAATTTAATGACTACGTAGGTATTTGAATTCCATCCCAATAGGTTTGTGGCTCAGACCTATATTCTAATTATTTACCAGAGTTCTCTTTGTAAGAGTCCAGCTGCCTCCTCTGATTCCACCCTTCCTAGCGTGGTGTCAACTCTAACTATCTTGCACTGAATCTGCAAATCCAGGTCATTTATATATATTTGGAGGAGGACGGATCCTAATACAGATTTCAGCGACCTCCCTTACTTTAACTTTGCTTAGCTCCCCTCCCTACCCGTCACTAATTCTGGCTTCTTTCCCTTTATCCAATTCCTAATAAAAGTTCCATGAGTGACCCTCAATATCCACACAATTTGGGGGTTAAGGAGAAGAGATGTTCATTTGAGATACAGGTATGGCCAACTTGTTTCCTTTCTTTTCTATATATAGTATTATTAGATAGAAAGACTAGCCCCAAATTAATTCAGAGTAAAACATAATAATAATAATCCTTGCACTTGATATAGCGCTTTCCACATCTTCTGGATGTCTCAAAGCGCTTCACAGAACATGCTGTAAAGTGAATTGACTGTATATTTGTGGGTGAAACTCGGCAGCCAATTGCGCACAGCAGTGTCCCACAAACAGTCGTGGATTAAAAATGACCAATTTTATTATTGATTTTTAAGGGATAAAAAAACCATCCACTCCGTTTATAAAAGCAACAAGGCTACACAAAGCGGTCAGACGAAGGATAGACCAAAGTCAGCACAATTGGCGCAGGTAAATTAAATTGCTAGTCTGTTCTCCATTATATGCTTGTAATCAGTGAGGTGTGGCTGAACAGAATACCAATTATCACCAGGCTGCTTGTGAAAGCAAGTTCCTGAAATTGGTTTTGAAGGCCAGCTTCTGTTAAAGGGCTAACTTTCTCTTCAAAAGCTTTTTAATCCAGTCTGCATAGTCAATACAGACTTCAGTAAAATGAATTACGGTATTCAATTTATAATAACAATTTTAAAAAATCAATAACAATTCTTAAGGTAATGTATTGAAGCCGTTAATTCTGCCTGAAGTCATTGTTTAATAAGGCAGTAAATTATGTATTGGATAGTAAGTGTCAATTGTTATTCATATTCATTGTGATTCATGTCACAAAAGGTCACAATAAACCCCTGATTACATTTTCTATTATTACTATATGCTGAGAATAACTCAAGATGTTCAATTTATGTTCTCTGCCATTAACCTTTGTGTTTTTGTTCATTAATCAGGTGGGCAAGGTCAGCATTGTTTTTTAAGTAAAATAATGATTTATTTGGCTAAAGACTGTCTGTAAAGAGGTCATCTTTGCATTCCTATTTTTGAATTGGGTTGTCATTGATAAAATAGCTTTTTAGCTCATCATGACCTAGACTTCCATGTTATTTAAGTTAACACACATTTAATTCAAATAATAATAATAATCCTGCATTTGATAAAGTGCCTTATCACGTCGTTGAGTTGTCTCAAAGCACTTCACAGAATATACTGTAAAGTGAATTGACTGTATACTTTGTGGGCAAATTGTGGCAGCCAATTGCTCAAATGTTTAATTTAAAACAAGAAAGATTGGTAAAGTTCTGAAAAGTGAGCTGAACGTAGTATT